CTTCCTCTCCAAAACCCGCGCCTGCCACGAAATCAACATTTTAGTGTGAACTCCCTGCCGCAAAAAAAAACCTGCTAACCAACCAACCAACAGCCACCTGCCAGCGGCGCCAGCAGCAACCAACCATCTGACCACAACGTAGCATGCCTTTTGTGGGCCACAAATACAGTTTAGAGTAGGAAAAAGCCATTGCAACGTAGCATTCCTTTTGTGGGTAAAATTTAGAAAAGGAAGAAGCCATTGCAACGTAGCGTGCCTTTTGTGGGCCACCCGAGGGTAAAATTTAGAGCAGGAAGGAGCCATTACAACGAAGCATTTCTTTTTGTGAGCCACCCGATGGTAAATTTTAGAGTAGGAAGGAGCCATTACAACGATTTACAACGTAGCATTCCTTTGATGGGCCATTCGAAAGTAAAATTTAGAAAAGGAAGAAGCCATTGCAACGTAGCATGCCTTTTGTGGGCCACCCGAGGGTAAAATTTACAGCCGGAAGGAGCCATTATATTACACTGTAGCATTCCTGTTATGGTTATGATGTACGCTAAAGCTAGTTCTGATGACACAGCAAAACATAAAAAAGGCATAAACAACGCAAAAATAATGCAAAACCAATCCCGAAAAAAATGCACAGAAAACGCAAAAACAAGTCACCAAAGGATGCCTTGGAATGCAAAAAAAACACAAAAAATGAAAAAAACGCATTTGTCCACTAAACCAATGCAAAAAACGCACAAAAAATGCAAAAACAATACACAAAAAAGGCACAAAAAACAAAAAAAATGCACAAAAAATGCAATCAAAAAGCAAAACGAATACGATCAAAAACGTTCTGGTCTTTGCCTTTGCATTTTTTTTCCTTTGTATTTGGGTTTTTTTTGCGATTTTTTTTTGCATTTTTTGTGCGTTTCCTTGAGAAAACGCAAAAAAAACGCAAAAAAAACGCACAAAAACGGCAAAAGAATTGCAAAAAAAATGCAAAAAATCGCACAAAAAATGCAAAAAAACGCACAAAAAAGGTGGTGTGTGAAATTTGGTTGTGCATGTGCATTTTTTTTGCTTTTTTGAACTGCTGTTCTGCTTTTTTTTTTGGCTTTTTTTCTGGCTTCTTTTTGCGTTTTTTTGCTTTTTGATATGCACTCTTTTTGACCAGCTGCCTTTTTTTTGCTTTTTTTATGCATTTCTTTTGCATTTCCTGGTCATCCTTTGTGAGTGTGGTTTTGCCTTTTTGTTGCTTTTTTATGAATCCTTGAGATTTCAGAGTTAGGCTGTAAGGTACATCATAATGTTATGGGCCATTTGAAGGTGAAATTTAGAATAGGAAGGAGCCATTACAACGCAGCATTAGTTCGAATTCGACTTCGAATCGACGATAATTTTTTCACTCCCGGGGGGGAACTAGTTCGAGTTTGAGTTCGAATTCCAATCGACGACAATTTTGACGCCCGGAGGGGGGGAAACGCAGTTCGAGTTCGAGTTCGAATTCGAACCGACGACAGCGATTTTGGAGTTCGACTCTTTCTATTCGTCCACTGGGTTGACTTCTAACAGTCCCAGTTCGAGTTCGAGATCGAGTTCGAGATCGAGTTCGAGTTCGGTTCCTTCCATATATATCCTTTCAAGGTTAAGTTCATCAATACTGTATAACTGTTTCAGTTCGAGTTCGAGTTCGAGTTCGAGCGGGGCACACTATGATATTCGACAAAAGCCGCAGGCGATGATGAACAAGCCAGGGGTCGTTGTATTGAGCCAAGCCATAGGCAAGGCACGCAATGCCCGTCACAAAGAGTTTGGCACCCTCTTCTGTCTTGCCAGGGTAAAAAAAGTTCAATCCAGTATCGGTGCCTGCGTTCGCAATTGAACTGTTTGTCGTTTCAGGGACCAATGACATTTATTCCTGCCGGCGTTGAATTGCAAATTATCAAACTGCATGGACTAGAAGCGAATCAGCATAACATCGCTGTTCTTCATTACAATCAGACTGATCCAATGTCTTGTGTGCCTACGGACCAGTTGGCATGCTTGCCACTGCCGTTGATGCCGGCAAAGGGCTTCTCGTGGAACAACACCTGCAAGCCTAGCTTGGCTGCTTCCCGATTCATGGTTTCCATGAAAAGGACATTGCTGTCGCAGGAGACGTTGGCAGTGCGAAAGACTGGAGACATCTCATGCTGCCCTGGAGCAACTTCGTTGTGCTTGACTGCCATAGGGCAACCAACCTCTAACATCAGCGCTTGGACACGGTCCAAGAGCAGTGCCACACTGGTTGGAATCGGTTGAAAATAGTTCAAATCACCTTGTTGATGTCTCGTTGGGAGCTTGCCGAAAAGGGTGCGACCTGTGTTCACCAGGTCTGGTCTGGCTTTGTAGTGTGCAGCGTCGATCACAAAAAACTCTTGTTCCCAGCCCAAGTAGCTGTGCATGGTCTTGGCATCTTTGCCCAGGCCGACGGCCTTCAAGAGACGAAGGCCCTGCTCTTTCACAGCGTCCATGGACCGCAACAACGGTGTCTTCTCATCAATGCACTTTCCGAAATGTGTAATAAATGCACAGGGAATGTAAAGCGTCTTGTTCAGCACAAATGGTGGTGAGGTTCTGTCCCAAGTCGTGAAAGCTGCTGCGGAATGCGTCACTCGCAAGCCACCATTTGGGAAGGAGGATCCATCAGTTTCTCCCTGGAAAAGACGTTCCGAAGGCAAGCACGCCTGGGGTTGATATCAACCAAGCTGCTCAAGGGCAACTTGCACAACAGAGCTGCTTCGCAACCACTTATATTTGTGATACATATATATATATATATAAAGCCAATGCAACAAAATTAAGGTTCTGCACTACAATTGCAAACACTCAACACTCCAAAGACTTTGTCAGCCTGGCCTTCATTGGCTTCGTGACATACTTCGAGGCAAAATCCAAATCAAGGAGTGTGTCCTGAGCAAACAAAAGGATACTGTATATACTATCAAGGAAAAAACACATTTTTATCTCTTGCCCCCCCTCCTTGAGTCCAACCTTCAAGAAAAAATTCACAACATGGAATACCAGCCTGCTTGTACGCTCCCAACATGCCACCCACTGCTCCACCACCGCCTCTGAGGGGAAAGAACCAGTGGGCAAAGTCAATAGCGCCTCGTTCTCGAGCCTCGGCAAAAGTCGAATACTAGTTTGATTTGATCGGTACATTGAATCAGTACAATCACTTAATGTTGACCCATGTTCAATGCACAGCACCGAAAGCACGCTAACTGTTTTGCCACAAACCGCTTTTGCACTGATTAGTAACTACCATGAATTGAACCGTCATTTCCCTTCCACCAACTCCCAACTCTTGATGGTGATTTGGGATGCGCATTTCATGGGGTGGGCGTTATTGAATCATGGGTTGACATTATAGCTTTATTTGACTCCATTTTCCTTCAAACCTGAGGAGCCAACCCATTCATAAATTGTGTCTGCAATGACTTTCTGATCTTCCTCTGTAGTTGGGGCACCGGTGATCACACACTCCTGAAATCGCTTCAAAACTGCCGCAGGCAGCTTCTCTGCCATTACCTGCAAAATGACAGGTGCATAGCTCCAAAACACATGATGAACATGCAAAAACAACGTGCCAGGACCACAATTGAACCAACAATATGAATCAATATGATATAACTGATAGAACTATATATGACACATTTCAATTTTGCCATCTACATATTTAGACCGGGGATTCGACGTCCGCTTTCGCCGCCTTGCCTTGTCATCAAATATGCAACTTCCTGCAGCGTCCAGTGGGTCTTTCGTTGGAAAGACTCCACCTGTCATCGTGTTCACAGCCTCCAACACGGCCGTTGAAGTATTTTGCCCCATTGCCCTGACAGGGTTCAACCAGGGTTCCGGTTTAGGCATTTTGATATCAAACGCCCGAACGCCAACAAACATCACGTGCACGTTCGTTGCTTGATGCACTTGATTCCGTGTTGCGGTGATATTGCGCCTTGGAACTATGGAAGACTCAGCAGGAGGAAAACTACGTGATCAGCTGAGCCAAACAAACGAACTTCGACAAAGGCTATGGGTGTGAATTAAAATATTAAGTTGTTCTTATTCTTAAGAACGTGTGTATGTGCTGCTGCACAGTTTAACGCACTGCCCTGCCCCCCCCCCCGTTCTGCCATGCAATGACCTCAAACAAGTATCAAAGTGATTGATTAACACTTGCCTCTCTGAACCAAAAAAACAAAAGACAAACAAACACACTCTCACAAAGGTGTTGCAGCAAAAACGGTGCTCAAAATTGCAAAACGTGTGCGAATTGCATCGAAGTGCGGCTTTTGGCGACCTCTCGGCTCTGAGTCAATGCTGCATGGGCCACTCTCGCCTGAATCGAACAAACAAAATGTGGGCGTCCAAATGCGCTCAACTGATGCCGAAAACCACACATCCCTTTAATCGATCACTGAGAAAAACAACACAAAAGCCTCGCTATACATGATCGGTTCAATCACTTTGATTGTTCTCTCAGAATCTTTCACATTCTTTCACATCATCTTCCAATCCTTTCGCTCCATGCCTTTTCCGAGCTGAGGCGAGTCCACTTGGAACTTCACTGCTTTACTGCTTCCCTTCTTGACTCCGGACTTTGGCTTCTTTGGCTTCGGCTTTGTGCGCCGCCTTGCTCCCCTTGGCTTGTTGTACCCATGGGGAGAAAGCCTTTGGAAAAAGGCCTCCCAAAAACTGTCGTCATAGGGCATCCGTAGCGTTGAGTGAGGAGAGCCAGAAGGTGCCATCCACAAGTTCAAGGCAAGGTGCCCCCCTACGTCGCCACCATATGAGATCACTTCATGAAACCAACTTGCCGGCAAAAACAGGAGATCGCCAGGACTGAGTGCGGCAGTGATATACCGACCTTTGAGAAGACTTGGGATGGAAAGCTCACCATTCGAGGTTGTTGTCACTCGACAAAAGCTATCAGGCAATTCTGCATTTGTGCAGTTTCTCTCCTTTCCAGTTTCAGGGGCATCCTCTGACCACTCATCGGGGGCGCGTCCTCGCAATGCCTCGTTGAGCATATGCTCAAGCTCTTCCTCGTCACTCTGGCCACTGTCGCTGGGGTCGTGCTGACCACACTTAGAGCCTTGTCTTTTCTGCCACTCGCGCACAGCAACTGCTGGAGCACCGTCACTCCGCAGGCCTGGCACGTAGGAAATCAAGCCATTGGAGTGCAGCTTGGCTGTCTTGTTCTCCACCCCAACCGGCGCAAGGATATCTAAGCAACGAGGACTGAACAACCGAAACTCCTTGCGCCCACGGAGTAACACATAAATGTTGTCGTGAAAATCATGATGCAAGCCTGAAGATGATCCAGCCGAAGATCTACCAAACCACAAATTGTACTGCACCGGGATCAAGTTCCCTATTAGCTTTGGCCGGAGGGTCTCACATCCACGCATTAATTGCAGGACATGCTCCGCTGCAAGAGATTGAGGGCAGCCATTGCCGTCCTCCAGCGCCTGGGTAGTCAAGTAGCTGAGTTCATTTCCCATCTCCAGCTCTGAACAGAACTGCCCAAAGGTCGTCTTCTCCCTTGCCGTATCATCACTTTGCCCAAAAAAGCTTGACTTTGCATGCTTGCGTTCTACGAGAACCTCGCAACTGGCAGCTGTGCTCTGTTGCATGGCCTTCATACCTTGCTCTCCTGGCAATGCCCATCTTGCATGTTCACCCTTCAAGCCAAAGAGCACTCCCAAAGCTCCATTCAAAACACCATCTGTGTTGATCACCAAAGGCTTTCGAGCCTTTACATACTCAAAAAAGCTTTCTGGATCCAAGTCTCTCCAGTGCTTCGTTTCCACACATCCACCTCCTCCTGAAATGGCACCCTGCTGAGTTCTCAAAGGACAAAATCCCTTATAACCCCGGCGCAAAGCCTTGCCAGCTTTTGGCTTGCTTGCCTTCACTGCACGTTTCCGCGCCGCTCTAGCGCCACTTCTCCGAGAAGTTTTGGCCATGGCGTTTTTCTTACCAATACTGTCTGAAACTGACTCAGTGACGCATACAAACAGCCTCTGAACATAAGTCTTGAAAAGTCTTGACATCATTTCTCAAAAGCTGACTGCATGAATAATGAACCCGCTATTCAATTCCGCTGTCCAGTGCAAAGCAGAAGTGTGGCTGAGGAGTCTATGGCATATGTCATATGTCCATGTTGGTGATGTTAGCTAGTATCTCATCCGCTGCATTGCCTTATATAAGATGGCGTCGGATGTTCTTCGAGAAGAATACGAGTACAATATGCATAGTCATTCTGTTTAGCAATGGGCTTCACAAGGCTGACAAAGTGGGCACTTTTCACTGCTGGCCAGGATGAGTGCAGTGAATTCCAGCTGCTGGCTATAAGCACCAGCACCCCCAATGCTACATCTGCTCCAAACATTGTGGCGAAGTGGCGCCAGTGAATGAGCAGCAAGCCAAGCTTGGAAATCGACTCAGCGACGCCAGACTCAAATACAAATCTGTTGTGCAATCACAGGAATACACGTGAATACAGAACGCAAATATGAACTTTTGGCAAAGCGCATCCGTGAACAGGAGCGAAGGGGGCATGTAACGTATCTTAATTGAACTCAGCCTAAGCCTATTTCACTTTCGATCCGATGGAACTGACTTGGTATACAAAACTGAATTTATATAAGTGTTGTATCTGGGGCTGTAGTAAACGCAGTCCCTAAAACGCATGTTTATGTTGCAAAGTGAGAAGCAAAACAGCAAGTTCAAGACACTTCGCCGTTGTCATTTTCATTCATTTTCCAGTAGTATTGTGTAGAAGGTACATATGCATTGAGTCTATCCTACTAGCAGCAACAGTGGATAGTAGAGGCCTTGTTCAAACATATTTATAGTGAGGCAATGGGACAAACCCCGGATTTATGCACGATTTGACAACTCAGCCACCAAAAGCTATGATAAAGGCTGTAGTCTGGAGTGATGTTCAAAACATGGCCATGGACCAGCCACGGCCCTGGACCCACGCCAGGTCCTTCCAGTAGAAAGTGCATGAACATTCAGCTCCATTGATCTTTCCTACTTCTTTATTGAGCCATTGGGCAAGTTGTATCTGTATCTTGCTTGGTTGTATGACTGGTCTCATGGTGTGCAAACATGTTGAACAAATTGAGGCCCAGCATTGCAACGAATGTTCATCGTGTAAGACAAAAACAACACATAGCCGCATCCCGACTGTATACTTTGGAGCCTTGAGGCACTTGATGGAAGGCAGGGTGCTGGGAGTTGATTTTTGGTCTCGTCAACAGTGCTGGAAAGACCGCCGCTTTAAGCTGCACGCTCTGCCAAGCTGCCCTTTCTCACCGAATTCCTTCCTCTGCTGCCACTGTGCATCATCCCAACTTCCTTGCTAAAAGGGCAATGAATCATCCACAACACGGCTTTGAGATGGATATGTGCAGCCTTCAATACAGCACATACATCGCGAAAAACTATTAGTGAAAGTGGAACTTGCAAGGAGGGCAACATAGTGCAACCGCAATAATCGAAATATCCAGGTACACCAAGAATGCAAACAAGCCGCGAGTCCAGAAAGTCGATGCAAACATCTCTCACCTTATTAAAATGAATGCAAGCAGTCTTTCGAATCAGATCTATGATCTATATGATTGTGTAAATACAAGCGTGTGCCATATATTGCTATATATTATATCATAGACTCATAGATGCTTATTCAACGTACACATATCATGCTATATTTGTGTATGTATTGTCGCCGCAAGCAAGGAGCATCCCATCGATATTGAGGAAGAACAGCCTGCGGTTGGAATCGCTTGGACTGCCCACTGCCAACTCTGCACTGCAAGTTAAATTCAATATATTTCAATCATGCATCTTGAGTCTATCTTGATTCTTTAGATGCCCTGTAAAGGGATGTGGAGACAGCCAACACTCGATTTGGAAGCCAATTTGCTTTCTGCAATTTTGAAAGTTCCTCACCTGCAGCAAGTACATGTAAAGCAAAACCCAAACCATGGATGCAATGCCCCAGGAGAAAGCAGCAAGCACAGTGCTCGCTTTCGGCTGAACTTCCTGCATCAGTTTGACATGACTGATGCCAGGCTGAAACGACTCTGCATATACAAACGAATGCATCGCTTCACAATTTTTTTGGGCAAATGCCGCTTTTGGTTTTGGGCTTTTCTGGTCCAAAATGGTCAGGGCATGGGGGGAGGCCCCCATGAAGCATCTAAGATCTGGCCACGACCCTGGCTTTGGTGGGGCTGAATCGGTGCCGCTTTGGGCGGTGGTTTCGGCGATTCCCGCTCATCCGGCATGAAGCTCAAGTCATTGCGGAAGAAATCTGTCTGAGCCGGTGTGGATTTCGAGGACTCCGTCTGAGGTGACATACCACTCTTCGCCTCTTCATCTCCAACCGCTGTGGGTGCGACTGTTGGTGCAGGTGGAGTAGGCGGAGCAGGTGGGATGGCTTTCACCGGTGGATTTGAAGGGGGAACTACTACTGTCACTTGCCGGTCAAGGATATGGGACAAGCGCCATATCTCCTGCCTGAGCTTTGGGTTGTCACCCTGCAAGTACTTCTTTGCTGTCTCAAAGTTCCTTTCCCTTGCAGCAAGCTCCTCTTGAGCTCTAGCAAACTTTTTCTGCTCTTTATACAAGCTCTCCTGCTTTGCCTGGCAATCTTGCTCCCTGCGTTGGTGTTGCTGGTTCCTTTCCCGCAGCTCTGTTTTCTCTTCGTTCAACTTTTGGCAGCTCAGTTCAAAGTCATCTCTAGCATCCTGTATCTTCGCTGCCTTCTCTCTTATGACTTGCTCTTTGTGTGCAAATTCAAGCTGCTTGTAATTTAAAGATGCTTGCTTGAGCTCAAGTTCTTCCCGATGTTGACCAAGTTGTTTCCAGAGCTCCTGCAAAGTTCGCAGATTGTGGTCAGCAAACTGCTTCTCTCTGGACACCTTCAACTCCTCTTGTCTCATTTTGCGCTCCCAATCAATCAGCTCCGCTTCTTTTGCAGCATTTTGAGACATCCTGGCTTCCAACTGTTGCCAAGAATCTTCCCCATGTGAAGCAGCACCGGTAGTGCTTATGACTCCTTCCCATGCTCTTTCGACTCCTTCAACTTGCTTCCTTTCAAGTTGAGAGGGCAAACCTGCCGCTGCCTCAACGTTGGGTGTGCTGCTAGTGAGTGTCCCATTCCGCTCGTTCCCGGTTGCAAGCTTCCGGAAGCCGTCTGCGGAGTTCACTTGATCCTCAGAAAGAATCTCGCATCTATGACCATTCCCCTCCATCTCATCTTCTCGTACTGCAGGAACCAATGGCGACAGGCCTCTTTCGCAACTCTCACCATGTCCATTCACAGCTTTTGAAAATGCGGCTCTTTCAGGGCCCATGGCGGCCATGGCAGCTGGCCGGTTTGGACTAGGAATTGCGGTTATAGGCAATTTGCGAGGATTTGATTCCACTCTTTCGGAATCAGTTGGCTCTTTGGCCAGGTCTGTGGCACTTACATTGGCCATGTGTGGAGATGTTTTTCTATGCTTGAGCCAGTCAGCCATGCAAAGATTACACGCTCTTGCGGAAAGATCAATGCTGCTAGCTGCTAGCTACTCACGTGAAAAATTACATGCCCTGCTTGCGGGTCAGTCCATGTCAGTCCTTCGAATGTGGCAGAATTTGAGTATTGCGGGTGTCGATCACACTCTGCAAGGGCACAACGGTGCTGAATATAACATTATTGAGCACCAATATGAACCTCAGGCAAGAGATTTCAGAAGTTGGCCAACAATTCCAGTTGCCGCCGGTTGGACAATGGCGAGTTGCGCTTGCCACAACTTGCGGCAACTGCAAGGCTCGTCGTGCAGGATACGACAGCTGTTTAAAAGAAAAAACATCCAGGCAGCTCCTCACAACTAGTCACAAGGTCTTGAGTTACTCGTGCCTTGCCGAAGGGCTCCAAGGCTACAGCATTGAGGATGACATCTTCGAAGCTTGGAGTTGCGCAAAGCCAACGGCAGCCAAGCCTCATTCCAGCTCGATGTGGCTCATGACAAAAACTAAAGAGCTCTAGGCTCTAAGGGCGAAACTCAGAATAACACATTGTTTTGGTGACTAGGAGCTCGAGCCACTTAATGAGCACGCAAATCATTCGGATTGAGGGTCTTGCTCATGCCTTTTAAATGTGGTTGGGCATTGGTGTGCTTTGGGGTAGAGCCCTTGCACGAGGCTTTTTAGCTTGCTACCGTGTTGTGAGCTTTGAACGGCCGCCCACGCAACCTACCCAAAGCAGCAAAATATATCCAAACAACAAAACAACATTGTAGAGCAAACCACCCTCTCTAACTGAATCAACTGAAGGACAACATTTTCTCATGTCTTCACAGTTTGCGCAAGAATCCAGCTAGTTTACAAGGTTGTTGTAGGAATTTAACGGTATGCTCGCCAGAAAGGCACAAATCAACATGCTGGTAGGAGTGCGAGCAGGCTAGTTTACTTATGCTTGTTGGCTCGTTCCTACTTTTTCGTGCCAGACCAACTTGAGTGGAGCCTTCACGCACAGTAAATCAGTAAACTGTCGAAAGCTTTAAGAGTGTGAGCCTGAGCGGGTGATAGGCGAATCGTCCACAAGCCAGAAAGAAGGTCCTCATCAAATTCATCCACATTCTAAAGGTAGTCTTGAGGGAAACATATTATTGTGATGATTTATATAATGTAGACCCAATAACCTTTAGCAGTTTAAATTTGAGCATGTCTACACACATCTTGCCAAATAGTAGTAACTTAATAAACCTTTCCTAGCATCATTCATATAAAATGTATCATAGGAAAAAATAACATTATATGAATTATATGATAATGATTTCATGTGATGTGGACCTTCGGAAAGACCCTATAAAACGACTATATAAAACATCTAAAACACACAATAATGGATCTGTGCCATATTTTGTCCAACATATTTTACTAAATTATTGTGCCATGGATTACAAAATGAACCCTCATAAATGTAAATACTGTTACTTTTAGTTGCTTCTTTCATGAACAGTAAATAAAAATAAATGCATTGGCACTGACTGTTAATTCGGGATTTTATTGTTCATTTCTTTTTAGCTGCAATCCCAAATTTATAGTTGCAGTCTTATTCGTTGTCGGCCCTGACCAACATCAGGTTCTCCAACTACAACCATGTAACACCTTGTGATAGGATCAAAACATATAAATTTATGACTTTAGAATCATTATATATAATCTCCTGCTCGTGCAGCATGCGACGCGCCCTCCCCTTACATCAGTAACTCTTAGATTTCAGTTGCTCCCGAAACGCGCCTTCCCTCTTCTCATCAATTGGATTTCTACTGGTTGTGTCTTCAAACAAAACAACCTCAATTAAACACGCAATGCGCTGCACCCTTCCATCCCAACAAAACTCAAGAACCTTGATTCAAAGGAGAGACCAGAATCCTGAAAACCTTGACCCACTGCACACAGTGTAACTTGAGGCCAGGGGAGGAGGTCGAAAACTAGCCGAATCGCACCGGATGTACTATTTACATAGCGGCAAAGCATGTAGTGTTTACATGTTTTGGGAGAAAGGTTGCTATGTACATACTTTGTGCTAAAGAATGTAAATGTGACATCGCTGACTGGGAAGGGTACATTGCAAGGCGCACTCGTTGGCAGGCACGAAGATGCGTGATCGGCAAATCTGGAGGGTAAATTTACCCCCCGCTTGTGTGTGCCTTGAGTCGGAAAAAGGGGTAAGCATTTCTGGCATCACAAGGGCTGTACACACACTAGATCGTCCGTAGTGTAGGATAAGCACGGGTAAAAGGTATAAGGAATAGAGTGTCTTGAGTCTTGAGGAAATAGCCGGTGTATGGTTATAGCAAATCTGGGGGGTAAACTTACCCCCCGGTTATGCATGCATTGGGTTAGAAATAGGGGTAAGCAACTTGTAACAGTGAAGTACAAGTCCTATGCTCAAAGCGCAACCTTGTATATAACAGTGAAGTACTATGCTCTAAGCCCTGCATCTTGCAAGCACATCCATGCCAAGGCCAAGATTAACTAAACAGCGAAAACAAAAGAACCCCTGTATGCCTGCAGCTGGGAGTTGAACCGGGGTGGTTAGTGTGATATATCAAGCTTTAAGGCACGCAGCTCATCCCACTACCAATTGCTAAAGCAAAGAAGAACTCAGCTAGCATGCAAGCTTTCGTGACAATGTAATGTGTAACAATGTGCAACATATTTTCCAGGCCCTAGTGTGAGCTGTGGGTGCCACCAAAGCCACCACAGCAGGTAGCAATCAACAAGGATGCGCGGAAGGAATAGAACCACCGAAAGTGCAACCTTGACCTCAAGCTGCACACACTATTGACCATCACAATGCTGATTGTCCTCCAAAAAGCATGCCGTGGTTGCACATTTGCGGCTTTGCTGCCGGTGCTGTGATTCCAACAATCACATATTCTTCCTCTGATCCTTCCTCGGCCGGCCATAGGCTTAAACCGCAACACAAGCAGCAGTTCCAAGTGATGAATACTAAGGCAGAAGCGACAGTCTCCATAGAATCCTTCATTGACGAAATGGTTGGTGTAGTGCGTACGATGCGAAACTTGGCCAGGCAGGTGTGGCGTGGTCAACTTCGCTTTGGATCAGGACTCATGACTTACATGACATCGGAGTCACTAAGCACGCAACCCAGTAGTCAACTGCTTTGCGAATGTCTGCAACAACCTTTCCGTGGAATCGAATGAACAAGTATCGAACCAAGTCTACAGCTTGTTTGCAGGCTGATGGACTGAACAGAAAAATTACACTCTCCATATTTGCAGGCAATCTCACAACAAAGCTGCATTCGAACAAGGCACTGTGAAGGTCCATATCATCAAGAGCGTCATGAAAAATGTTGGCTGCGACAATGGGATTTGACCTTGTCCCCACATGTAGCGATCCACCATACAGCACATTATGCCTATATGCTGTTTTGCCTCGCTGTTCGGCAAACCGGTGTAGACCACTAGTGCATCAGAGTGACAAACACTTTCTTTGTCTTCCCTTGGCTGACAAAATCGCTCGTTGAACGATGTTGGTATTCGCGTTAAACAGAAATGGATTCTGGATGAAAACAAAACAAAGAAACAACTCGTGTTCTTGTGGTTCTATATGGCAAACTCGCATCTGCAAGTGCTTCGTTGGGCTTCATTGGTGACGTGTGTAACGCAACATGACTAACTGAGACAATTTTCTCAGTGAGCAAAGCAAAGTTCTTTGGGTTGAAGTAGGGTTCGCGACCGCGATGAAAGCCATTGGCCTCAAAGCAATTGTACTGTATATGCCAAAATGTTGCATGACGTCATTATAATGAATGAATCTGAATCTGCATGGTCTCAATATTTCTGGCAAAATGCAGTGACAGCCATCCTGCTTGTGTCATTGCCGTACCTTGGTCCAGAGCACCACACTCAGCAAACCCCTGCGTGCGCTAGCCTTCCTTCCCCACAGGGGGCATATGCAGTCAGGGTGCATAATTATCTGATACCGGTCGTAGACATCCCGAATCTCGTTCACAGCCACGGAGGTCACCAATGCTTTCAGACTTGCCATGAGATAGATTTGCAGGATAAGTGTCAGCACCAAAATCCTCATCGAGGGTTTTGTTGGCTCAATCTCACGAAGGTGTTCTTGAAATCATTTCCCTGTCGAGGCAAAAGGCTCAACACTACAATTATATTAAACAATGGCAGCCATACATGACCAACCATCAAATAACTATGTATGTGAAAAGCACCTAAAACACCAAACAAAAACAAATGAACATGCAAAATCAACGCAATGTGCTTTGTTTTTGCATGTTTGTTTTTTGCTGGTACCACTTCTGCACTTATGAGAACTTTTACCCGTCAGCAAAATTCGCGGTACGCTCCTAGGAAAAAACGAAAAACACACGCACAAAAAACCGCACAACATGTAAACAAAAACATGATAAAACAAAAAACGGCAGCAAAAAACACGTGAAAAACAACGACGAACACGCAAAACCACATTTTTATGTTTTTTGTATGCTTTACTTTTGTGTTTATTTGGTTTGTTTTTGCTTGACCACGTTATTTTGGTTCCTTGTATCTATGGTTGGCGTGCCGAACATGGCACTACAATTAGGATGCAGCATGTCTTACTCTGCGGTCCTGCTGTTTTAGCTGCCGCTTGAATGACGACTACATCCTCACTCTCGTTACTGCCCACATAACATTCCTAGCAAACTTTATTGAATTCGTTTTTGAATGTTTTTAAAGTTGCGGCTTCAACGGAATGTCCTGAGTATTCTGATGCATCTCTTGCCTTGGCGACCCTCAGGGTTTTAGGCTGTGCATCCCAGTGTGAATCACGGTCCAAATGCCCATCCCAGCCAAGCTGCAGCTCCCACCCGTAAACTTATGTGTTGCACCTCAAGCCTTCAGGTTGAGCGGCTTTTGAAGAACACAAGAAGTGCGGGCCCACTTGCAAGCAACCTACATGTATATACACGCAAGAAATCATTATATATACACACAAAAAATCATTATATACACACCTGAGAAGGGAGGAGACGAAAGCCAGCCCCCGTAGAGATTGGGAGCAACAAAACATGTTTCTTCACGGGGTCCTAGCTAGATCCCAGAAAATAGCACTCCTTTGCTGGTGCCCTTTTTCCTTTCCTAAAGCTGTGACAAAACCGGACAAAACGATCAAAAGGGGCACCACGACTGGACCACACATGCCCTTCAAACAGACCGCAGCGCACACATAGTTGTTCAAAGCATTTTCTTTACAACTACTTGGGGGGCCTGGCTAGATCCAAAAGAAAGCACCCCTTTGCTGGTACCCTTTGTTGTCTTTCCCAAGCCCCTGACAAAACGATCAAAAGGGGCACCACCACTGGACCACACATGCCCGTCAAACGGACTGCAGCGCAAACATACAAGTTTCAAAGTATTTTCCTAGCTAGATCCCAGAAGAAAGCACTCTTTTGCTGGTGCGCTCTTTGCCGTGACAAAGCGATGGAAAACGGCACCGCCACACATTCTCTTTTTGTTGAGTGTGTTAGTCTCGATGCGTGCGGCCCACCATCTCTTGGACCGCGTAGAAAACGGCGGAGCAGTTGAGGTCTTTATAGCGCCTAGCCTATCACTTGGCTTTCATCAGTTACGTATATTTATATATATATATATTTATAAAGAATAAGCAGCACCTTTTCTCTTATTCGCTCTGCAGCAAGAGTG